ATCCTGGCGCCGCCCATTAACTTACATGATGCCGTTTAAAAAAATTAAGGGCGGTGCCGGCCGTCAGCATACCGAGCCGGCCGTCAACGGTCCGCTGACGGCCGGCCGTTCTGTGATTCTCCAGAACACACAGATGGCCAGTCCGCCTACCCTGTTTTCCACCGGGTCACCGCAGCGCCGCGGCGGAGATGGACCCGGTGGAATACAGGGTCTACCGCGTTTAGGAACCGTTAAGCAGAACCGAAATTGTGTATTTTGTATGGGTACCCGGTACCCGGCATTTTCTTATAGGTTCTTATCTGGAACCGAGTTTCGGTTCCCAATCCTAATCTTGTATAACATGTACAATATGGAGAGGCAGAGACAATTTGAACATTTCATGGCCATATATTATCCAGATGTTGAGTACTGAATGCATGGAGCCAAACAGGATGACGGTTGTTTGCCAGAATAAGAGCCCCAAAGAGTCACTCATAATTACAAGAGATAAACCCACTTTAAAGGTCTCCTATCATGCAAAATGCACTTGTTTATGTCTTTTATACATACATATGTGTCCCCGGTGTGTCAGGGAACTCACAAAGTGTAACAAATTAAAACCCACTGTTGTGTCTCGTCAAATTTGTTAGTTATGTTTATGTATTTTGTCTGTCATTCCAAGTCTAGTCAGGTATTTATGTCAAGTCAGGTTTTCATGTTATTTCACGTCACGTCATGTCTGTCTATTTATGTCATGTCTTGTTTTCCATTTCCTGTTTTATTTTGTACTTACCTCTTGTCTCTCATTCCAGGCCCTGTTACTTCCTCCCTTTGTGTGTTTTCCCGCCATCGTCAGCGTCTGCCCCGCCCCTGATTGTTTCCACCTGTTCCCACTCACCTCATGTTTAAATAGTCCTGTCTTCCCCTGTCCTGTGTCAGTTCGTCTTGTTTGTTTGCCACAAATGGTCATGCCAGGCCTCAGCAAATAGAGGATCGAGTCCAGTCAAGTCAGGTTGTTATTTTGCTATTTTTGTAGACTTAAGTTAATCTTAAGTTCCTTTTTTTGTTACGGTTTATTTTTTTCTCCTTGTGAGCGCTTTTTGTTATTCTAATACCTACTCTGTTACCTACTCTGTTAAGAGGGATTTTTGTTCTTTGAAATTAAATATAAATGTTTGTTACATTCAAGACTTTGTCTCTGGGTCGTGCATTTGGGTTCTCCAGCCTGTGTCGAGGTCGTGACATCCTCTCTCTTTTCCTCCTTACCCAAACCTCTATAAACCGGGGTACAACAGAGTTGATCCAGATTTGCTGCCCATATTACGTATTATCAGAAATGTGGGCTGGCTTTACACCCTATCAGAAACGTTGCTATCAGAAATCAATCAATCAATGTTTATTTAGAAATAAATGCGCGACGTGTTTTGGAAGTAATAGTCTTTGTTTAAATTAGCAGTTAACCTGTCCTGGAGAGAGTATGTGTGAAGAAGCAGGAAATAAAAAGCAACTTCACCTTGTAGTTGATTGCATGACTCTTTTAAACATCACTGTTGCCGGAAATACCTCCGGAGGATACATCAGTGTATCTCGGTTATAGCTCGATGCTCGATCCTCGATGCCCGATGTGCATTTAGAGAAATGAGATGTCCTTCAACACGGCGCGCTGAAATCGATTTCCGGGTCAGTACCGGAGGACTGAGGAGTCGAGGAGGCGGAAATCAGATAAATGCGAAAGGTCCACAGTGTGCCTGGTGCTCAAAAGGGAGCGGGGCCAGCAAAGAATCTGCACTTTTTATATATTTGTATAAATCTGAGAGCCATAATGTATGCCTACAAATAGCATGATAGGAGAAAATACTAGAACTTGTAGTTCAGCTATTGTCAGGTCTTAGTTTTTCAGCTCAACTCCTTCTCATTAACGCCATTTGCTTTAAAACTCCCATTTAAAATATTTTATTGCTTACTTCATATTTTGCATCCTTAAACCCGTTTTTTAAAATATTCAAACTGCTTCAGCTTGCATTTGTAATCCTTCAATTACAAATAAAAAGGTAGATGACATCTGAAACATCACAACCCCTCCCTCCCACACAGACACACACACACACACACACACACACACACACACACACACACCCCCACACACACACACACACACACACACACACACACACACACACACACACGTGATTTTCCTCACCCAAGTGTGAGGGAACAGTGGGACTGAGTGGATGGCTCTGTGTTCATTCTGATAGACAGAAGAAATCTATTCAGCCGTCATCAGAGGAGGGAGATGGATGAATGCTATTGGAAGTCTAAAAGTCTAGTAGTCATGTTGAAGATGTCGTTGTCATAAAAGTTCAAAATGTCAACCTTAGATACAAAAATGTATATAACTACAGTATGCTTTGACACCTTTGTAGCCATCTCTTGAGGTTACTAAGGGAAATAGTTAATCATGTACTTGCTGGGCCAAAGCTGTCAAACAGTTTAAGGAAATAGTTTTGAACTAGACATTGTGAATAATAGGAAATATTATCTCCATTGTAAGTTATTCGGAAGCAGGTCTTATGAAAGTGACTTTATTATAAACTCCAGTATTGTCTCTCATAGATTGCTGTATGAATGAGTACGATTGGGAAAGCAGCAGTGTGTCTGGAAAACAAACGTGTTCAGTCATGCCCACAGACTATTTCTGAGTGCTGCTGTGGAAGAGTACATGTTTTATCCTGGAAGGCTTGTGTTCTATGGTTGTCACTCTCAATTTCAGAGAGCTGTGATAAGGAAGCAGTGTAAATAAGGTGGAATGGTACATTTCTTTCAGGCAGAATCATCTGTTTATGAATGATTTACCTGCCATGAGGGTGTGATCCAGAGAGGCAGGGTGAGGCAGCAGAAGGTGAGGAAAGCTCCTCATCCTGTTGGCCGGCCAGGTTGTTTGAAGTAAGGGGTAATGATGGGGTAGGAAAAATAACTATTCAAGTAAGGCCCCATCCACACGGAGACGATATCAGTTGAATCCGCTAACGTTCTCTATCGTATAGACCAGGGGTCGGCAACAGGCGGATCGCGGTCCGGATCCGGACCCAGACGCCGACCTATACGCACCCGGACCTATAATCAATACATTAAAAGGGGATTTCAATTTTGACGGGGCAATTATATTTTAACCGCTGCCGACAGGGGGCGAAAGAGACGAGTGAGCGACACAGGGAGAGAAACACAGAAGAAGAGACGAGAGAGCGGCAGAGAGAATCGGAGAGGAAAGTGAGTGAAGAGAATAATTAGCGATACAGGGAGAGAAGCGGAGAGGAGAGTGAGTGAAGAGAATAATTAGCGATACAGGGAGAGAAGCGAAGAGGAGAGTGAACAGGCGTGTTAGCGGCAGACAGGGAGAGACACATAATTACACATGGCGCTCTCCAAGAAGAGGAAAGTGGACAGTGAGAACAGAGCTTTTAACCCTGAGTGGACGGACTCATTTATGTTCATCCTGCCCACTGGGAGCACAGAACCAGTGTGTCTCATTTGTTCAGAGACCGTGGCGCTCATTAAAAGTGCCGAAACGCCACTATGAGACAAAACACAAAGTGTTTGACCAAACATTCCCTCAAGTCAGAACTGAGGTCACAGAAAATAAGCAGTCTCAGAGCCCAATATGATCAGTCGACCAGGATCAAAATTAAAACTAAATATTGTTCCAGGGCAGGCTAACCGAGGCTAACCAATGAGCACCTGCACGTGTGTATGAGAATGGCCCTGACACCATTTCAGCCCAGATCTAAACTCATGGCAGGACAAGCTCCAGCTCAATTCTCGCCCTGAATTTAGTGAGAGACTGCAATATAAGAGGGAAAGAAAGATAAACTTTAAAACTGTTCAATTGTTATGATGTGTAAAGACTGATATTGTTCTATAATCGTCAGAAACTGTTAAGTCATGATGTGAAACGGTTAACAAAGAAAAAGGGAAACTCATGCTGCTGCTACACTTTATTTTATTTATCTAGAATTAAGCACTTTTAAGATGCATATATTTTCAAAAGCTATTTTATTTATTCTCTCCTATTTTATTTTTAAATGCAGCCCGAGAGGAACATTACACATATCCACAGTATTTACTGTATATCTGTAGAGTTCAATCTTAATTGACAATAAATATTGTTGTTTATGAATTGTACTTTCTTTATTTGATTGTCAGTCAGTTGTTGATTACATGCAGACGTTGATAAAGCTGCAGCTACTTCAATATATATCACACAAATTCATAAAGCAACTTAGACATTTTGATGTTCCGGACCTTTGCATGGGGACATTTTCTCTAACTGGACCTCGTTGAATTTTAGTTGAATACCCCTGGTATAGACGGTTCGTCCACAAGAGGCCGAAACGGAAACACGGATTCGTTACCGTTTGATAACGGCTCCCAAAGTGGGTAGCTCTGAGAACGAAACGCTTGCGGCTCTGTGTGTACGCCCTATACGATCATTTCCTGAAAACAATGATGCCATAGCCCCGCCTCTCCCCAACTCTCCTGCTCACCCCCGCGTCACCGTCATTGCTGATGCGTTTCGCCAACAACAACAACAATGGCGGATCACAGGGTTGCGTTCGTGCTCCAGACGCTACTGACCATGATACAGATTTTAGGGCAAAATCCACATCTCCTCTACCACAACCATTAGCAACAATAACAATATAATAGAATAATAATCGTCATCGGTCTTCTTCGCTGCTTTTGGTGTATTTTGTGGCGGAAGTACAGCGCCACTTACAGGCCCGGCATATGTACTACAGCGTCTCCAGCGTTTGCGAGCGTTTTCATGTGGACGGACACGTTTCTTGAGCCGTTTCCGTGTGGACGGAAGACTTTTTTGAAAACGACTAAGGTTAGTTTTCGTCTCCGTTTCGTCTCCGTGTGGACCTAAGACCTAAGTCCTAAGACCTTTTAGGGATAGAGGGATTTTGGATGAAAATACTAATGATGTTTTCCACCCCCCCTTACTTTCTGTCTGTCTCCAGAGCTGCTGGGCTCCACCAAGAGACTCAACATCAACTACCAAGACTCAGACGGGTAAGTGGAGTGTGTTTGTCAAGTCTGAAGAATGCAGTGGAGTCAATGTGTGTGATTGACAGGACATGGTTAGTTAGCTTAGCTTAAACACTGGGAATACGGGTACAAGCTAGCTTTGCTCTGTCCAAAGCCGCTACTCTGGAACCGTGTATGTGTGTGTTTGTGATTTGTGTGACTGTTTATGCCTTTAGTTTCTCCCTCTGTGGAATATACTGTGACCTGACAGACACCCAGAGACTGACACACACACACACACACACACACACACACACACACACACACACACACACACACACACACACATACACATACACATACACATACACACACACACACACACTCTTCTTGGCCTTTATATAAATATATGCAACACATGAAATAACTACATAACAATCCAAATATCTAAAAAAGGAACAAAACAATTATAATATGATGATGGATACAATCTTAACACTCATACCAACATTAATCGTCACATCTTACCACCTGGTAATTATAAATGTTTTATGTTCTAACACTTACCAATTGTTCTGTTTCCATGGTTATTTTTTACCATTCCATACATTTAATTCGATAGATTCTTCCATTGGGAGATTATTAAGTTATTATATTTTAACCAATTACTTTTAATTTGTTTAATAATTGCGATTGTTATTACAAGAAATAAGTAGGATTTTGTATGAATTTTTTGGCCTATAGTTTTGATGAAAGCACACGAGGTTGATTTATACCCCCTCAAATGTCATTGCCCCCAGCTTCTCGGCGCTGCACCATGCGGCTCTGACAGGCCCCACGGAGCTGCTGTCTCTGCTGCTGGAGGCCCAGGCCACGCTGGAGGTCAAGGACATCAACGGTAAGAGCAGCTCCTGTGAACCTCACGCCCCAGACAGACCTACGGCTCAAGAAAGAGATGTTTGGGAGGTCAGTTTGAGGTCAATGTTAAACTTTCTGCTTCTGGTACTCTCAGCTGAGAATACGTTTGAGCCATATGATTGACTTGCTACTGTAACTGGTCTGGTTTGACGGCACATCTATCTCTGCGTTGTGTTGTGTGATCGAATGAAAACGGCTTCCTTCTTGCCAACCAGGATTTATTATCTGTGCAAAACAGAATATAATCACAGCAGGAAATTGCTTCTCCAGCTTTCTACATCAATACCTCTCCTCAGCGAGGCCTGACGCTAACTGAGGAAAGTAGCGCGAGTCTGCCGAAATGTGCCGGTGCCAAGAGTACAAAAATAAATAATTGGGTGGTCGTGCTCTTAACCTGAGGTCAACTATAGATTTCTGAAGGGCTGTTTCAAAGGTTCCATTTGCATCTTGGCACTTCCTGCCCCCTTGTCAGCATCCGAATCCAGGGTCTCAAGCAGGCTCAGTGGAACGCACGCCGCAGCAGACAGAGGAGCTGGTCCAGGTACAGCAGAGATACAACTGCATATCCCACTGTATCATTGCTCTTAAGCCTGAACAACTTTATCTGTAAAATTATAGTACAACTGCACACAAAGATATAAAAATGTAAATGGCCTCAATGCTAACAATCATTAGCATAAGCTGCTATCACCCCATCAAAATGCATATTATTAAACCTTTACTAAACATTTGATCTTTGCTGTTGTAAAACTGAAGTCTGATGAAGAGACGATCAAGTTAAAATAATGTGGAACCTACACTGCATTTAACAGCAGAAGAAATTCAGATTTGTTTTTCTTATTAAAGCATTCATCTTAAAGAGTAGAGGTTAGAGCACAGTTAAAGGCAACTGTAACTCTAACCACTTGTTCAGGGAATAACTGTCAAGATCTGTCATTAGCATGGATACTGTTTACCCTATTTTAATTCAATCCCACAGGCATGCTGTTTAATTTGTTCTGCACTAATCAATACTTATTTATATACGCAGTGTCATGTGTCATGGGCAGAGTTGGGTGTAACGTTACAAAGTAACGCGTTACTGTAATAATATTACTTTTGTTGGTAACGGAGTAGTGTAACGCGTTACTTTTGTAATTTAGTAATCGCACTACAGTTACTAACATTGCCCCGACCCGCGTTACTTCGTTACTTTTATAAAATATTCACACTCACTGACAGACAAGAGGGGTTTCCGCCGCAGGTTTATATACATGTAGGCCTATGTAATCTGCGCGACTTGCGAGACCACATCTCCACGTGCAGTGCTGCATAAACATGGATGAGTCTTTTCATCTGTAAACTCCCTCAACGGGGCCGCTCGCTCTCTTTTGTTGATCGCCCTCTCACGGGTGAACAGTTCAATGTCCCGCTTCATTGTAGGAATTCTGTCTCTACCACTTTAGTGTTTGACCATCTCTGTTACTAAGTTATGGAATACTAAATACATAAGTAATTAGATACCTTACCGTTACTGCACTCATAAAGAATGATAAGAATAATGCGTCTTGAACTGGTTTCATTAATTAGTGTCTTGACGTTTCACAGACTGTTAGCTTGTTGTCTGGCTGGTAGCCTATTTTAGAGCATAAAGAAAGACTTGTGTTATGTCTTCCTTAATGCAATAGTAATTGTGGGTGCAAGTGGAGTCTCGCAGAGGCAAAACTGTGGCGCACACACTGTAGGTGCGCCGCAGTCTGCGTGATCTGCCTGTAGGGAGGGGCGGGCCGGCCCTGCGAGTAAAGTAACGAGTAAAGTAACGAGTAAAGTAACGAGTTACTTTATGTAGAGAGTAACGAAGTAGTGTAATATATTACTTTTTTTTAAAGTAATATGTAATATGTAATATATTACTTTTTTTTAGTAACGACCCCATCTCTGGTCATGGGTCAGTGTCTCTCCTTTAGCTCACCAGTCCCGGATAGGCTGAGATATTCTTACTTTCTGAGCTTGTAATATGGCTTCAAAAAAACATCCCATAATGCAGTTTGATCAATTATTCAGTTGGACCCTTCCTGTTTGTTAAACACTAACAGGCTAATATACACTTACAAAATATATCTATCTTCGGATAGAGTTGATCAGGTGGTTGGTTGTGGCCTCTTCAATGGCTGTTCAAAGTTGCTGGATGTTGGCAGGAAGTGGAACACGCTGTCATATACGCTGTTCCAGAGCATCCCAAACATCAAAGTCAAGTCAAAGTCAACTTTAATGTCAATTTTTCTGTGTGTTTGTTAGGACTGCACGATTTTGGGAAAAAATCTAATTGCGATTTTTCTGACAAATATTGCGATTGCGATTCGAATTGCGATATTTATTTTTAAGCGAGCCAACGGAAGTTTATTGTAAAATGCTGCCATATCTCCGGCTAGGAAGGTCGTATCAAGTGCTCCCATCTCTAGCACCCCCGCAGCCAGAGCTACGAGTGAAAGAACTAAACTTACATTAAACTTCCGTTGGGTTGCTTTAAAGTCAAGCTTCAGTTAAAGATTCACCCTTTTAGATGTAGAACATGTGATGGAGCATTACTAACCTGACTCAGATGGTTTGTTTCACCAAACAATCTAGGAAAGCTCCATTGGAAGCCATTTGGAAAGGGCAGGCACTTTCAGAAGCACTTGGCAGGTGATTGGATCAATCTGTCTATCACCTTCTATCATGGGCCACTTCTGATTGATTAACAATGGCTGGTACATGTGGAGCACAGCACTTCTGATTGGTGTGGATGAGTGACACACAAGAAGAAAAAAAAAATCAACAAAAAACAAGTCAAAAAAAATCGCAGGCTTTGCGATTTGATAATCGCATCATCTCGAATCGCGATTTCGATTTAAAATCGATTAATCGTTCAGCCCTAGTGTTTGTACAGACAGAGAGATTGAAATAACGTTTCCAACAATCCCGAATACAAAATACAATAATACAAATATACAAATATTTATAAATATGTATATCCTCTATATATACAATCAACAGACACATTTACACATATGCACACATTAAGATAAAACACAACAATCAATATATACAAAATAACAAAAATAACAGTATGTTAGGGAATGTACATCGTGCAAGATTGTCCATAGCAGCGTAAAAAAGTGTCTGGTGCTGGAATTGAGTGTCTGAGTGTGTGGGGAGTTATACTGTAGTCCAGTGGGGGCAGGGGGGAGAAAGGGGAGGGAGGGGAGAGAGTTCAGCCTCCTGACAGCCTGGTGTAAAAAACTGTTCTTTAGTCGAGTAGTGCTCGACCCCCAGGAATTTGGTGCGGCTCATCTGTTCCACAGCAGTACCACCAATGGTCAGTGGTCAATGGGGGTGTTGGGTATCGTTTCTCCTGAAGTCGACAACAATCTCCTTTGTTTTCTCCAGATTGAGAAAGAGATTGTTATCTATGCACCACGTGGCCAGCTGGTTCACCTCCCTCCTGTAGTGGGTTTCGTCGTTGTTGCTGATGAGACCCACCACGGTTGTGTCATCCGCAAATTGATGAAGTGGTTGGAGCTGTGGGTGGGTGTGCAGTTGTGGGTCAGCAGGGTGAAGAGCAGGGGGCTGAGCACACATCCTTGGGGGGCCCCTGTACTGAGTGTGATGGAGCCTGATGTGTTGTTGCCGACCCGTACAGATTGGGATCTGGCAGTGAGGAAGTCCAGCAGCCAGTTGCAGAGAAAGGGGCTGAGGCCCTGGTTTGTTCGTTTACAAACCAGCGGCTGGGGCAGGGGTCGGCAACCCGCGACTCTCGAGCTGCATGCGGCCCTTTAAGCCCTCTGCTCTGGCTCCCTTGAGTTTAGACAAAAATAAGAAGGAAATAAAATAAAAGTATTTGTAGGACTATTTATATTTTGTTGCACGGTTGAAAATGTTTCGTATCTTGTATTTTGAGGTGATACTGTGACCCATAAATAAAAAACAAAACGGTTTTAATTAGGTCAACTAAAATATGCATCACATCCTGCTACGGTCCCGCACCAGCGCCTTTTCTTGGAGGCGAATAACCTGACCCCCGGCTCGATGAGCGAACTATGGATAAATCAAAGAAAAGTACCGGAGGAACACAGGATTTAACTCTGTGTGGACAGAGTTATATGCTTTCACAGCAAACAATGCTGGTTTACCGGCATGTTTGATATGTAGAAAGAAGTTGTCAACGATGGTGCAGCCTTTACGTATCGAGGAACAACACGGGAGAGGAAGACAGCTGACGATCTTCAGTCATAATTCAATGGGGTATGTAATTTATTTCAGAAAACACTTTTTGTTATATTCCATGGAATGCTCTTAACGTCCCGATAGCAATGAATATATTAAATGCTTTGACAATAAATACATACAAAAATTAATCTGTGGAAGCCGTAGCGCTGTAAAAAGCACGACCAATCATCTGAGACGGCCCGGCTAAAATAACTGGATGGCCTAACTGCCTGTCAGCCTTCCATCTGTGCACACACTTATTTCGTGCCCTCATTGGTCATGTGCGTGTGTGTTGGAGGAGGGGCTCTGTAAGAAAGTCTGAAGGAAGAGGCAGATTTTTTCCGGTTGTGTACTTTCAAATTCTAGCGCACTCAAGCTGGTTTCTCCATTCTTACCTCCCCTACCTTTAACTCTTTTTAGGGTGCAGCTATATGTTTTATTTATTTCAAAGTGGGCCCATTTTAATTATATATTTTTTCCTTCAAATGTGCAGAGGACTCCCCAAGTGCTGTGTTTAATTTATCTTAAAGTAGGCCTGTGTATTATTTTAATCCTCCTTATAGGAGTTATTTGTTTCTTATTAGCTTTTATGTGCGCAGCTCCACTTGCTTGGAACAGTCTTCAGCAATAATTTAAACTGAGTGTTACGTTCCCACTTGGCTAGGGTACAAACGGGAAACGACACGACCAGATTGGATTTGGTATATTTGTTACCGGTGGTTTTATTGTCACTGAAACTAGGCAAAATGATGG